CCAGTGGTCAAGTGGCTATCATGAAAGCCACGGCAGGTGCAGAGTGGCTGTGACCAGTGCAGGGTGGTACGTGTGTGAGAAGTAACTAGTTGGGTGGGCCAAGCCCCGGACCAAGAAAGCTCACACCACAGGCTCTGACGGTGAGGGACACTTACTCCAACATAAGAGGCAGTCAGTGGACATTTCTTTAAAGCAGACAAGTGACAGCAGATTTGCCTCTTAGGATAATGACCCCGACAGGCTGAAAATGAGGCCACGCAGGTGTTGGGAGGCCAGGCCGGGGCTGACACAGTAATCCAGGTGCAACGGGACAGGGGCCTGAGCTCATGGCTGATGGGATCACTGAAGAGGTCTGACCTGAGAGAGAGTTGTGAGGTAGAATCACCAGCACTGAGGGACTTGATGGGTTGAAAACATGTACAAGAGAGACCATGGGGAGAGAAAAAAAAAGAGAGAGCCTGGGGAAGACACTCGGTGTGTGGGCCAGGGCAGCGGGTGGCAGGTACGCTGGTCTGCTGGGTCTGCAGGCACTGAGGTGCTGGTGGCACTGGCGCTGGGCCAGGACAGTTTCCAGATTGCCCAGCAGTCCTGGGAGTGGGGGGAGTTGGCGTGGAGATCCTAGATTATCCAGGAAGGGGACACCGAACAGAAGAGGTCAAGGCAGAAGCCTGACGAACACCTGCTGAAGCTGCACACAGAGTAGTCACAAAGGAGGAAAGTGTACACGGGAGGGGGCAGACCAGGAGGGCGCGTGTCCTTGAAGGGAGGGCGACCAGCTGTGTGAAGGCCGCATGCACACAGCTCTGAGGAAGGACCACTTCCGCATGCTGGTGGAGACAGAGCAGCGTCACAGGGGGTGTAAGCAGTGTGCTCAAGTTGCTACCCTCGAAAGTCGCCGTCACAGTACAAAGGCAGCTTCCAATTTGTTTTCCAAACTTTATAAGGCATTTTGCTAATCCAAGAACTTGCTTATTTTTCATGCATGCTGAAAAGTTCCCTATTTTGTAACAGAATGTGTTCGGAAAGCTTAGGAGCACTGTGTGATAAGCAGCCGCCTACTCTAAGACCACCTTCCTTGCAGCAACACTTAATGGGGCACAGCTGGGGAGCTGGCCGCCAAGTCAGCCGGCGCACTCTCCTTCCTCACCATCTTCCGGGGAGACAAGGGCAGTCAAGCCTGGACTCCTACTTTCAAGCAGGCTCCTTCAGGCACCAAGGTCCCAAGTGGAAACTACAACCTCTCTGAAAGTAAAAATGAGCTGAAGGAGTTTGGGAAGATAGACTGGTGAAAAGGTTACAATGACACACTCAAGATTTCACATCAGGACAAAGGCCGACACGATACTGAACTAGGCTGGAGGGTAAAACGACAGTTGCTTGAGCAAGCCAAAGGGAATGTTGCCTTGCCAATATCAACGCTTTTCTAAAGGTCAAAACCTGCATTTTGAACATACAGATAATTTTTGTCATTATGAGGTCCCAATTTAACTTTAGGAATGAATTTTTATTCATTGAGCCACGTGTAGAATTCAACAGCAAATATGTGTTACGCACTATGTAATTCATTTAGAAGGGACTAACTGTGCAGGCTTATTTTTGGATAATTGACAAAAGAAAACAGAAATAAAGATTCTTTTAAACCTCAGATCTATGAGAAAAGAACCTGTAGAATTACTGTTTTTCTTTTCATGTAAAAAGAGATGGAGAAAGCACAGATTAAATAAATTTACAGGAAATCTGAAAGCATCATTTAATTCTGCTGTGCCACCAAATCTCATTACATAGGTTTTCAGGTAGAAAAACTCACAAAAGATAAAAAATAGATGTGGCAGAAACAGCTAAGGGGTGACACACATTAGTTGGAGAGTTGAGTTTGGTGTCAGTATCGCTTCTTCTATCTCTCAGGTCCCATCAATATTTTAACATAATTATGAAATAACTTGATCATATGAACTCTTTACTACTAACTTATACTTACAATGATCACTGGAAATTACAGTCATTTGGGACATGAAGTCACAGTTCTAACAGTGGGTAAACTAGTACCATAGTTTATTTCCTGACTAATAACTCAAAGAGTATTAAATTAAGTTCCTCTTGCCCATGAATAAAAAGAGCAATATTAAATACCACTGCCATACCTAAATGTGGGTTTGGATATAAAAAGGGGAAAACAATCAAGCTTAGACACTAATCGGCTTTCTGGTTTTACTGGTGAGAGGGAAGCTAGAAATACTCCAGAGGCAGCTTCCTTGACCCCAGAGGAAAGCGGAAGTTAAGAAAAAGGACTGCAGCTAGACCTCCTTAGCACCCTGAACCTGACCCACACTGAGCAGGTCACAGGCAGGGTCCCTTCACTTGAAGCAAAGGGTAAATAAGTAAGATAGGCCAAGGAGTTCAAGAAAACATTTTAAATGAGCTTAAGACTTGGAACTAGGAAACTGCAACCTGTTTCAAGCCATGTCATTCTCATTCCATAAATCTGAACAAACACGTAGTGTTTTTAAACTTGTCATATTATGTGAAAAACCCCATGTCCTCACAGAAACTAAAAATTTAACAGGCACAATACTGCCAAAAATCAGACAAATTAAATAAACAGCCAACCACACAACTCTCTTTCCTAGCTTTAAACTCTCAATATTAGAATACTTAGACCAAGTCGTATGTATTGTCTATCAAGTATTTTTTTCAAGTAATTGAAGGATCTTAGTTTACCAACTAACTAGATTTGGCAGAAATAATCAACCATTTACTAACACCAAGACACTTTTTATTTATAAGAAAATACTGCAATGAAGAAATTAAGAAGGACATGGCAACCTACTCCAGCATTCTTGCCTGGAGAATCCTCAAGGACAGAGGCGCCTGGCAGGCTGCAGTCTACGGGGTTGCAAAGAGTCGGACACTGCTGAGCGACTAAGCACAGCACAGCACAAGAGACAACACATATCTGCACAAAATTCCTGGTTCTTCGGGTTCACATCACTGTCACTTCAAAGAAAATGCTGGCCCTGTCATTCCTTCTTCCTCTCTTGACCACTCAAGTGGGGAGTCTTGAACACGACCCTGTTTCAGGGGCCTCCCTAGTCTTAGAGGCATCCCTGGGAAGCAGTGAGAAAGAGGCAGGGGCCAGACTTCTGGCTTCTCGCTCCAGCAGGGCCGAGGGAGCCCCACTCCACAGGAGCCACTACTCTGGAAGCTTCCAAGGCCTCAGGGGCACAGCAAAGAGCGAGGAGGGCTCCAGGAGCAGTACCCAGGGGACCCGCTGTGCCCCTGGAGATGAAACTTCTGAGTGCTCACAGCTAATGATGCTCAAGGACAAGGAGCATCTTGTTACTCTGTGTTGAAACAACTGCCTCACTGGGAAAATCAGCCTCATTTTTAAAATATTTTTTAATTGGAGGATAATTGCTTTACAATGTTGTGATGGTTTCTGCCGTACAACAACACAAATAAGCCATAATTATATACATATATATATATATCTCTCTCCTCTCCCTCTCTCCCCCATCCCACCCCTCTAAGGTGTCACACAGCACTAAGCTGGGCTTCCTGTGTTATTCAGCAGCTTCCCATTAGCTCTCTGTTTTATACATGGTAGTGTATATGTGTCAAGGCTACTTTCTCAATTCATACTTTCCTTTCCTTCCCCATGATATATCCACAAGTACATTCTCTGTGTATCCATTTCTTCCCTGCAAATAGGTTCATAGTACCATTTTTCTAGATTCCACATATATGTATTAATAAACGATGTTTTTCTCTGACTTACTTCACTTTGTATAATAGGCTCTAGGCTCAGAGGGTTTCATCAGAGAGCTACCCCATGAGTCTATCCCTGAACTTCAGCTGTTCACTACATGTAAGTTCCTGGGACTGGGGAGACAGGAAATTACCTCTATTTAATATTTGCAAGTTTTTCCTCTTATTTATCCAGTTGCTATAAACATAAAAAGTGAGAAAATACTTTTTTATCTTGAAAGAAAAAAAGTCTTCTGCCAGGCCACAAAGGAAACAAAACACCAAACAGTGAAATGTTCTTCCTAATATATGCTTATAGTGAGGTATATAAAAAGTAAAGAAAAAGATACAACTTACTACAAATATCGACGATTCATAGGTCTGAAAAATAAGAAATTCATCAAAGAGAAAAACAAAATCCAAATTCTTAAATACAGAGATTTCTAAAAGAACAATCTATTGGAGTTAGTCTTATTCATATTTTCAAATTAATAGATAATTTTTATGTTTTTTTTATTTTGCTTTTCTCTTTTATTCATCATATAAGTAAGTACCCTCTATTCTCAAATGAAAGAAAAGAAAACAAAAGGAAGATTCCAAATAAGCTATCTGGTGTTGAGGAGCCAAACAAAAGCTCATCTGTTCCCTTCAGTCTCAGCACCCAGTCATACTTGTTTCACTTGGTATTTTTCTTGTCCAACCTCCAGAAGACACTCTCTCAGCTCTGTGCTTGACCATCTGGTTACTTCACTGTAATGAGAAGTTGTAGTGGCAACTTTTAAGCTGCATGCTGCACCTCATTAGAAGGGTCCTACATCAATTTAGTGAGACAAGGACTTGGGATACGACTGAAGTTAGTGTTTACTGAATGTTTGTTTCAGGTGTGGTGTGTGTGTGTGTGTGTGTGTGTGTGTGTGTGTGTGTGTGTGTACGTGAGTGATATGTGTGAATGCTGAGTTAGTGTTTACTGAATGTCTGTTTCAGGTGTGTGTGTGTGTGTGATATGTGTGAATGTTGTGTGTGTATTATGAGATGCAGTAAGATGTACGGCTTTCTATGGGTCACAGTCACAAAAATCAGAAAGCTACTGAAACAGATAAAGGAAGAAACAGATATAATACAAAACCCTCCAACTCAGATCTCTGGCACCTAGAGAAAAGGGGGTAAAAACAGTAACGATCAACTTTATATATTTTAATGTAAAAATACTTTTACCTGGCATATTCTTTACTCACATATGCCAGTGCAAGCCTTACCTGAAAGTGTCCTTTGGTAAGAAACACCCTGATGTCTCCACAAAGAAATGGCAGATCTCTCTCGATTCTGCAGTCCATTTAGTCTTTCTGCTAGCCCGCCTCTGTTCAACAAATTATAATGTATTAAGTTTAGTGAAACTAAAAGCTTCAGAACAGTTGGAACATTCACACTTTATACCCTCCAATAGGGGCATGCAAGTTTTAACTTGTGTGGCATTACACTCTCTTCCTACAGGTCAAATCCTTCTATGTTAGTTATCTCCTTTTTTAAGACTTCTTGGATGATCAGTTTTCTGATTCTTAGAAATGTGGGCTCCTCTGAGATGAGTCTGACTTCCTGACTTCTTAGTTAACTTACTCCATACATATATTCTGATTATGTGTTTCCTGCTATGCCAAGCCAAGCCCAGGTGCCAAGGATGTGAAGAAGGCAACAAGCCACATCACGGTGGACCTTATAGTCTAATCCACAAAAATGTAAGTGTAAAATGGGTTCAGAGTTGTAATCAAGTTGTAATCAAGAATAAAACCTGCACCCAGTTGACAGACAGAACACTCAAATAAGAGGATCTGGGTATAAGCTCATTACTTGACCTAGAGAAAAGTGAGTATTAACTGTAAATACAGCAAGGATATCAACATTATACAAAGGAAAAAACTTCTATGAATGGCAGGAAGATGACTCATAGTAAAGGATACACAGGCACTTCACAAGAGACCTGATCTATCAATGAATAGACACACAGATAAATTATAAAGCTCATTTGGGTTTTTCCATGAACTACCTTCATTCAGAAAAGTCAGCAGTTCCTAACATATCTGTGACCACAAGAGAAACTATGATCAGCTGTTAATCACCATTTGACTATGTACTTCATCAATGTATTATCTCATAAAATTATGTTCACTGATCATTTCACTACAGTATCTCATTTTATTCTAATAATATTCCTTTGATGTAGAAACAACAGATATCAATACCTGCCTCATACATGAAAAAAGTCAGAGCTTAGAAAGAGGTCAGGAAAATTCTTCAATATTGTATAACTAGCCAGATGAGGAAACAGAAAGGACACTGTGTTTGGCATTTAGTCAATCGCCAAGAAATGCTAATCACTGCCATTACTGACTCTGTTTGATTTTTACTTGCACCCTGCACTCTTTCCACAATGATTAAAATACCTCATTTTAATATACATTATATATATATATATATATATATATAAAATCACTACAAATTACTTCATTTTCCAATTAGGTAGTTTTTTTTCTATAGGCACTAATTATTTCTGAATATGTGTGTGAGAGCAGTATATATAACAGGAAATTTTAAAAAATTCTCACAATCATATATATGCCAAAGCATCTCTACTTTATATACATGTAAGCCTTTCTTCAGATCATTCTGTTTACGTGAAGTGACTAATCTGTACACGCCCTCTAAACAACACTATGAAAGGGGGCACTCGTGTCATCCTCACGTTACACATGATAAACAGAAGCACTGAGAGTGCAACACTGCACAAGGGGAGACATCTGCTGAGGGGCACAGCTGGGTGAACACCAGGCAGTCTGGCTCCAGAGATCACAAGCTCAAGACTCAGTGCTACACCTACTGCCTCTTCAGAACACTTGCTAAGTACTTAAAGATACCAAAAATACATAGAAAAGCAGAAGACTGTATTCGCTGCACAACGATCTAATTATTTACCAAATGTTTGTTTTCAAACTTATGACTTTAAGGGAGAAGGAAAAAAAAAAAAGACAAAATACAGTCTGAAAGCATTATCTTACAAGTGAACTTCAGGAATTTTAGGATTGAAAGGTAAAAATCAAGAGTAAAAATGAATGAATGCAAAACTGTCCTTCACATGCGGGAGCATCTGAAGCCTAAGAGAGAACCTGCATTCCGGTCCAGGCTTTAGACACAGGTCACAGGATTCCTCTGTTCTGAGAATTCCTGCAGGGAATTCTGAGCAGGTACACCAGAACTCAGGAATGGAAACACCATGACCTCTAGTCAACAAACACAATTCCAGTAAAAAAATCTTGTATATTAAAAAAAAAAAAAAGATTCAATAAGGCTCTGCTATAATATAAGCAAATTTTTTTTTATTTTATTGAGACATATTTGACAAATAAATTTGTAAAGTACATACAGTGTATACAGTGGTGATTTGATATATGTATACCTGTGAAAGGATCCTCCCCCATTTACTCAGCTGATAGATCCACCACTTCACATGTTTATCTTTTTTTCTTTTTTGATGTAAACATTTAAATTCCACTCTTGACAAATTTCAGTTGTACAATGTAATGTTCTGAATAACGGTCACCATGTTTACGTCAGATCCTCATAACTTACTCACTTTATGACTGAAAGTTTGCACTCTTTTCGTATGAATACATTCCCAGAAGTGGGACTGCTGGATAGTATGGAAGAATCTACTCAATTTTCTCAGAGCCTCCATACTGTTTTCCTTAGTGGCTGCACCATTTACACTCCCACCAACAGCCCACAAGTGTTCCTGCTTCTCTGCATCCGGGCCAGCAGTTGTCATTGCTTGTCTTTTTAATGACATTCTGACAGGTGTTAGGTGGCATCTCAGTACGCTTGGACTTGCATTTCCTTGATGACGACTGATGTTGAACACCTTTTCTCACATCTTTGGTCACTTGAATGTCTTCTTTGGAAAATGTCTATTCAATTCTTCTGCTCATTTTTAAAAGCGGATGGTTTGATATTTTTGCTACTGAGTTGCGTGAGTTAATTATGTGTTTTGGCTATTAACCTTTATCAGATATGACTTGCAAGTATTTTTTTCCATTCTTTAGGTTGCTTTTTTCATTTGCTTCTGGTTTCCTTTATTCTACAGAAGCTTTCTATATTGAAAAATTCCACTTGCTTATTTTTGCTTTTTTAGATTTTCTTTTGGTGTCAAATCCCCAAAATCCATCACCAGGACCAAGGTGAGGGAGATTACCACCTATGTTTTCATTTAAGACTTCTACATTTTCAGGTCTTCCACTTAAGTCTAACAGCTGAGTTGCTCTAATGAGTGGTGTAAGAGAGGGGTTCAGTTTCATTCTTTTGTATGTGGCTGTAGAATTTTCCCAACACTATTGAAAAGACTATCCTCTATCCATAGTATATTTGTGGCTCCACAGTTATGAGTTAATTGACCACATGTGCACAGGTTTACTTCTGGACTCTCCATCATGCTCCACTACCACTCTGTAATACGGTTTGAAATCTGGAAGTGTGATGCCTCTAACTTTGCTCATCTTTCTCAAGATTGCTTTGGCTATTTGGGGTCTTCGTGGATCCACATAAAGTTTAGGATTGCAATTTTGATAGGGGTTGCACTGGATCTGTAGATAGCTCTGGGTAGTATGGACATTTTAACCATATTAATTCTTTCAATCCATGAGCACAGAATAACTTTCCATTTATTTTTGTCTTCCTCAATTTCATTCATCAATGTCATAATTTTAAGTGTATTTTTTTTTTACCTCCTTGGTTAAATTTATTCCCAAGTATTTTATGCTTTTTGATGGAACTGTACAATAGGACTGCTTTCTTAATTTTTATTTTGGATAGGTTTGTGGTTAGCATACAGAAATGCAACTGATTTTTGTACACAGAGATACTAGGGACTTGGTTCCAGACCAACACAATGAATTTATTACCATAATAAAGCAAATCACAAGAAACTCTTTGGTTTCCTCATACATGTAAAAATTAAGTTTACACTATACAGTACTCTATTAAATGTATAACAGCATTGTGTCTTAAAAATGTATATATCTTAATTTCAAAATGCTACTAAAAATGGCAGAAAAACACAGGGTTGCCACAAACTTTCAATCTGTAAAACAAAAACACACAATATTTGCAAAACACAATGAAGCAAAGCACAGAAAAATAAAGTAGGCCTATACTGATTTTGTATCCTTTACTAAATTTACTTACTACTTCTCACAGTTTTTTTATTGAGTCTTTAGGTTTTCCTGTAGAGTATCATGTCATCTGTAAATAAGACAAGCTCTAATTCTTCTGATATTTAGATGTCTTTTATTTCTCTTTCTTGCCTAATTACTGTGGCTAGGACTTTTAGTACTGGGTTAAATAAAAGTGACAGGAATGAATGAACATCCTTGCTGTCCTTGATACTAGAGGAAAAGCTTTGACCTTTTCGCTGCCAAGTATGATGTCTGCTGTGGTTTGCACTCTGTGATTTTTACAGTGTTAAGGTACATTCTCTTAACACCCAGTTTGTTGGAGGTTTTTTTCATAAATGGATGTTGATTAAAAACATTTTCTGCATCTACTGAAATGATATGATTTTTTTGTCTATCTTATTAACGTGATATATCATGTTGACTGATTTGTGAAGAGTGAACAATCCTTGAATCTCTAGAATTAATCCCAATTGATCATGGTGCATAAACCTTTTAATATATTATTAAACCTGATTTGCCAATACTTTCATTAAGGATTTCTGTGTCCATGTTCATTAGGGATATTGGTCTATAATTTTCTTTTCTTCAGGTGTCCTTGTCTGATTTCCATATCAGGGCTATATAAAATGAATTTGCAGTTGTTCCCTCCTTTTCTACCCTTGGAAAGAGTTTGAAAAATATTGGCATTAATTCTTCATTGACTATGAGACAGAATTAAATAGTGAAGGCATCTGTTCCTAGATTTTTCTTTGTTGTTGTTGTTTTTGATTATTGATGATAAAGAATCTGACTGCACTGCAGGAGACCCAGATTCAATCCCCAGGGAGGGAAGATCCCCTGGAGAAGGGAATAGCAACCCACTGCAATATTGCCTGGGAAATTCCAAGGACAGAGGAGCCTGGCGGGCTAATGATGGTGGGGGTGGAAAGAGTCAGACAGGACTGAGCAACTCTCACTGTCTTTCAATCTCACTAGTAGTTTCTCTGTTCAAATTTTTAATTTTATCTTGATTCAGTCTTGGTAGGTTGAAAGTTTACAGGATTTATCCATTTCTTCTAGGTTGTCCAATTTGTTGGTATACAATTGTTTATAGTACCTATCATAATTCTTTCTATATATATGGTATTAATTATAATGA